GTGGGGCGGGGCGGTTCCCCGGGCGCGAGCCAGGTGCCGGTGCAGGGCTAGCCCGTCGCGGGGGGGACCGTTGGTTGGCGGGGGGGAGAGGGGTCTGGGTGACAGGCGGAGCGGACGGTGTCAGCTCTGTCAGAGTTATTAGACTCGGGCAGGTGGCGTGCGGGGCGCTGTGAAGTCTGGGACCAGTCCCCCCTTTCCTCCCAGCCCAGTATGCGAGGAGAGGAGCTCGGCGGGGGGGGAGCGCGGGGTCACGCGTGAGCGGAGGGGTGTGTGTGCGTGCGCGTGTGCCGGAGACAAGTCTGAAATCCGGGTCAGCGCTGGCAGTGAGGGGCAGCGAGACCAGGCGGGGCGCGGACTGCGCTGGGGGGCTGCTGTCAGCCACTCTGGCGAGAGATGGTTTGAGGAAGGGCTGCTGGTAGCCAGGAGCATTCATATAGAGGAGGGGGGAGAGCTGTCGGGTGATCTAGGTTCCCCCCCCCCCGTGGAGCAGGTAAAAAAGGGGTGGACTCCAGGCAGCCTATGCTGACATTGTCTGTGGCGACTGTGACTCAGAGGCTCTTTCTGCGGGGGGTGGGTGAGTTTAGATGTCAGTGGTGTGGGATTTTACCCCGGCAGGTTATAAATAGACCTGCTCAGACGCTGTGTCAAGGAAGGACACATTGGCAAGTTCCAGAGAGAGAGAGAGAGACTGGCTGTGTTTAGCTTTTCCCCAGCAGACTGCTGCTACCACCGCAATGAATGCAAGGAGGAGGCCTAGCTGCAGGATCTTGTAAGCCCTACTGAGTGGAGTGCTGGGTTATTTTATTTTATTGTTTTACTCAATAAATAAATAAAGTTAGCCAGACGTAGCATCACAGAGTCTTCCGAAGAAGGACAGAAAACCTTATAAGCTTGTTTCAGAGATCTGGGAAGAAACAGAGTGAAAATGAAGCCAGAACGAGGTAAATGATTTATTAAGAGTTTGGGTTTTTTTAAATTTTAGAAACAGCCTGTTTTTTAAAGGTCTTCCTATATTATCACTGACTATGATGGGGGCAGGAGGAGAGAATACAGCTGCTGCTGCTTTCAGCCCAAGAAATATGGGGAAGGGTACAATACACATAAAGTAAGGTGTAGTTTGAAATCGATTAGGCAGAATTATTTGTTAGTGCTTTTATTAAAAATTTCTGTTGTTTAAACGGATTAATTTTACCAATATACCTCAGGGAAAGGAAGTAGAAACTCACTGTAGTAAATGGGAGACAGTATCAGGTAAACATCAAATAATGTTGTATTCAGACTATTATCATGCAATTGCAACATTTTTAAAAAAGAAGTCAGATACAATCCAGCACTATCTTGCAATCCTGGTTTAAATCAGGGATATGTAAATGCAGGTAAGTGCAGCCCAGAAACAAACCAGCTATAGCTGTTGAATGTTTATTTAGGTTTGTTACAAGGTTTTCTGTTTAGTAAAAAAGTCAGGTAAATGCTAAACAGCAGGTTGAAATAGTCTTACTGTTTAATGGTCATTGCTGGTATTGGTCATATGTTTATATGACTAATCCATAGGCAAAATAAGGTGCACTGAGAATGTATCTGTTTTTATCACTTCAGCTCTCCTTTACAGTACAACAGCTACTGATGCCCCTAGAGTTAAAAATATGTCATGGTTTCTCTTTTAAACCGTGTTATCAAGGTTATAATGCTGTAAACATTTGCCTTGCTTAGCCAACAAGCAAGTTGGGAGCAAATTATATTGTCATGCTAAAGAATTTTCAAAAAACCTTGTATAGCGGCTTGTATAAATTTATTTTAAAGCTGTTTTCTAGTTTACCTGCTGCTATTTTTTGTTTAACCTAATTGCTTTTTAGTTTTTAAATACTTATATCTATTTTCCTGTAATATGAATAACATCTTTGGTATTTGAGAAGTGCTTTAAAATAGTCTAGATTTTGAGGTGTCAAACGTTTATGAATGTGCAGTAACTATTTTACATTGAACTTTTTATGATACAGTTGCTTAATATGGGCCTTGCATAGATGCCTGTTTATTTCCACACAGTTTGTAGACATCATATTCTGCAATTATATATTAAAAATGCACAGCACATGTTAACTAGTTTTTAAATTGTGAATTTACGCACAGTTGTCTGTGTTGTAAAACTGGTGGGTACTATTAAGAAGCAAAGGAGCATTTTTTTGAAAGCTAACTGCTGCAAAGCCAACTATATGTACTGTGCCTCTTTAGATTTCAGATCATATGGCTGAAGTTTGAAAGTTGTCTACCATCAAGGTGAACTCAAAATTTCATAATAATCAGATAAAAGAGAGTCAATATTTGCAGTGTTAAACTATTCTGCTCTAGCAATCCAAAAAAGCTCTAATTGACCTTTGTCTATGCTTTTGTAACTTACACTAGATAGGAAAATGCAGTTGTATTAGAATCTTAAAATGATTGTGGAATAGTTAATGCCGTGAATCAATATGATATGGAGCTGAGTTGATTTGTTGAGTAGAATTTTTCATAGAAACTAGTATTTAATATATTGAGATTACATTTAATGATCTCTAAAGCTTCAGACATTATAAAATGTTTGGTAATATGTTTGAACTGCTTTTAGTTCAACAGCAAAGGAAGGTAATTTTGGGGTTCTAAAACAATCAGCTGTTTTCACACCAAAGAATGTGAATAGCCATTTTAGTAAACAAATGTCTCTAGCTTAACTGTGTGCTGTGGGTTTTGTACTTGAGTAATACCATATACAAAGAGAATTATGGAAGTGCTGCATAAATGCCACATGCAGCCCACAGATGCTCTCAGGAGGCATGAATCATGCAAATGTTTACATGTACTGCCTTCTGCATAGCAGCTGCACCACAGTACAGCGAGCAGTCAAGTGTACAATCACCTGCTTCCATTTGTTGCAAATTAATAGTGAAGAACACAAGACAAGCAGTGCTGTCAGTTTGCTAAGGCCTAAATTGTGGTACATGTTTCAACATGTTGGTCAAAGACCCATAATGAGCATACTGTAGCAAATCATAAAGACTAAAATTTAAAAGATACGGAATAAACCTAGTTGGCATAATTGTTGATAACTGCAGTTTATCTTGAGAAATTTTGAAAACTGTATTTTCATGGTAATTAGTAGTCTGTATGTTTGAGCCTTTGTACCTTGTACATAGAAAAATACTGTACTTCTGCATTTCTGAATTGGATGAATGGGGGGAAGGGTCATTTGATTTAGATTTTTTTTCTGTTGATGTGTAGTACATGTCTTCAAAAACCAAAAAGAGAAAAGATGTGTTTTTTTTTTTTTTTTTTAAATTAAGGTAATGCTTACCAAAAAGGACTGAAAGATGCAAATGTTGGGGGGGGGGAGTTGATTGTGTAACATACCTTTATTACAGTACCTAATTATGAGCTTTTCACAGAGACCAAGTCTATATGACAAAGTTTTGACAGCATAGATAGCTATGTCACTTAGGGACGTGAAAAAACCCACCAACCCCTAGACAACATAGCTAAGCTGGCAAATGCCCCAGAGCAGATGTAGCTATGTCAACAGAAGACTGCTTGCATCAGTGTAGTTAATGTCATTCAGGGAGGCGGTATACTGGCTAAAAAATAACTGATGGTTTGTGTTGTGCTTATCTGGGGGCTTTGCGTGTATAGATGTACTGGTATAGTAGTGTAATGCAGACCAGTACAAAGTCACCAGTAGAGAGGGATGGCAGGCAGGGATGGAAAGAAGAGGAAATAATTCTGATGTTACACTCTTACCAGCAATGGGGTTGTCATAAGACAGTGGCGCTATGGGGAAGGTTTATGTAAGCTGAAGAAACTTAGGATAGAGGTCTATATGGAAGAGAAAATCTAAAGTATATGACTTTATAATGAGAGAAGTTTGAAAATTGTAAAGGTTAAAACAGGAGACGTTTCAAGGGAAGTAACTATGAAAACATGAATATAGAGTTCTAAAAGGCAGTTCATGGAGTAATTTTGGAAGCTAGGGAAACAGTTGGTAGATTTGGAAGTACAAGGAAGGATGTTGCCTGGGGTGGGCAATAATTTTTGATGGGGGCCCACTCCCAAGATTTTGGTAAGTGGTCAAGAACTGCACCTTTCTTTGGGTGTTGCAGGATCTAGGATGAAGGTTGGGTGCAGAACTGAGCTCATGGTAGAGGACTGGGGTGTAGGATATGAGAGGGAGTTTGGGTGAATGAAGGGGTTGTGATCTGGGGTTTCTGGCCAATAGGAGCTTAGAAAATTTTTGGGGAGCAAGGGGCAGTGCACGAAGGCTCTTCGTGATCTGGGGTTTCTGGCCAATAGGAGCTTAGAGAATTTTTGGGGAGCAGGGGCAGTGCACGAAGGCTTCCCTTCCCCTCTTCCCACCCTCCAGGTGCCCGGAGCAGAGAACCACATGGAGCAGCCAGCTGCTTAAAGTGGCATGGGGCTGCTCTGAAATGACTGGCTTCTCTGTGCCTGAGGGTCTCAGATGGGCCAGATCCACAGGCTTGGCGGACTGGATCCAGCTCACGGGCCACATCTTGTCTCATCATCTCTAAATGTAAGCCTTCATTGGCTGTGTTTTCACTAAACTTTTTCACTTAAATATCAGTGGAGCTCCACTAGTAGGAGCATTAATGTGGATATGTAGAGCCCAGCAAATCCGCAGATATCTACAGCTCCTTTTGCAGATACAGCTGTAGATGTGGATACAATTTTTGTATCTAGAACCCTGTAGATTTGCAGATATACACTTTATATACATGGATATCCACATTTATGGATGTGGATATCTGCGGATCATTTTGCAGATGCAGATACCACTTTTATATCAGCACAGAGCTCTACAGTTAAGCAGCTGGCGGCTGTCAGCTAACCCTGCTTTATACTAGGTCTAGATAGCATGGTAGTTAAAACAATAATGGCCTTTTGTCTGTACCTTCTCTGCACTAGAATTATTACTTGATATGTTGTTAGCAAATTTCACAATTCTATCACAAGTCTTGCAGTATTTGGTGTTTTTCCTGGAGTCATCTAATTAAGTAAAAATCTCAGCTTTCATTACCAGTCACAGAAGCTACAGTATGCAATTTTAAGAGGAAAATAAATTCTAGTGTTGACAAAACTTAGTCTGTGTAATATCCTGCCTACACGTACAGAAGTTTGCTTTTACAGATACACTGTTCTTTTGCAGTGATGGTGTCTGGCTTATTTAGCTCTCAACAGGTACTGCTTGTTTTCTTGATCAAGCCTCCCCTCCCCTACCCCAGGTAAGCAGAGGGGCAAAGATCTGGGTCTGGGGGCTGGACCCAGTTGCCAAGTGTGTCTTAGGGTTGCCAGGTATTTCTGAATTTTTTTTACCGGACAGGAGGCAAAAATACCAGACTGTCTGGGTCAATACTTGGAACATTTAATTTTTTTTTTTTTTTTTTTGCTATAACTTTTTGAGTCTTTGGCTAGCTGTTCTTCAAAATCTTGAATATCCTTCCTGATTATATTTTTATACTTAATTTTAGCATTTATGCTCCTTTCTATTTTCGTCATTAGGATTTAACTTCTACTTTCTAATCTATACAATGTCTTTTTGCCACTCACTGATTTTTTTTTTTTTTTTACTTAGTTTAGCCATGATGACATGTTTTTGGCTTTCTTTTTATGTTTTTAAATTTGGGATATACATTTAAGTTGAGCCTCTTTTATAGTGTCTTTAAAAGGTTTTCATTCAGCTTGCAGACATTTTATTTTTGGTACTGTACCTTTTAATTTCTGTTTAACATCCAATTTTGTGGTGTTCCCTTTTCTTTAATTGAGTGCTACAGTGCTGGGTTGCTATGGTGTTATTCCTGCCACAAGGATGTTAAATTTAATTATATTATGGTCACTATTACCAAATAGTCTAGCTATATTCACTCTTGGACCAGATCCTTTACTCTACTTAGGACTAATTCAA